CGCTTATATCAGACCACGGTTATAACGAACACGGTTATATCGAACACGCTTATAACTGACACGGTTATATTGAACACTCTTATATCTAGCACGGTTATATTGAACACGCTTATCCCTAGCACAGTTATATCGAACACGCTTATAACTAACATGATTATAATGAACATGGTTATATCGAACACACTTATAACGATCACGATTATAACGAACATGGTTATATCGAACACACTTATAACTAACACGGGTATAACGAACACGATTATAACTAGACACGGGTTAAATGAACACAGTTATATCGAAGACGCTTATAACTGACACGGGTATAATAAACACGGTTATATCGAACACGCTTTTAACTAACACAATTATAACTAACATGGTTATATCGAACACGCTTATAACAAACACAATTATAACGAACATGGTTATAATGTACAGGGTTATATTTAACAAGCTTGCAATGAAAACGGTTATAACGGACACGCTCATAACGAACATGGTTATATCGAACACGCTTATAACGAACACGTTTATAACTAACACTGTTATATCGAACACGCTGATAACGAACACGATGATAACGAACATGGTTATATTGATCACGTTTATAACTAACACGGCTATATCGAACATGCTTATAATGAAATCAGATATATTGAACACGCTTATAACGAACAAACTGTTTTATTGAACACGCTTATAACGAGCACAGTTATATCGAACACGCTTATAACTCACACGATTATAGCGAACATGGTTATATCGAACACGCTTAAAACTAACACGGGTATAACGAACACGGTTATATAGAACACGATTATAACGGACATGGTGACGTCGAAGACGCTTATAACTGACACGGGTATAACGAACACAGTTATATCGAACACGCCTATAATGAACATGGTTATATTGAACACGGTTATATCAAACATGGTTATAACTAACTCGTTGATAATGACCACGGTTATATTGAACACGCTTATAACTAACACAGGTATTATGAACACTGTTATATCTAAGGAGCTGATAACTAACACAATTATAACGAACACGCTTATTATGAACACTGTTATATCGAACATGGTTATATTGAACATGATTATAACGAACACGGTTATATCGAACACGCTTATTAAGAACACGATTATAACGAACACGGTTATATTGAATACGCTTATAACTAACACGGTTATACTGAACACGCTTATAACTAACACGGTTATATTGAACACGCTTATAACTAGCACGGTTATATTGAACATGATTATAACGAACACGGTTATATCGAACACGCTTATAACGAACACGATTATAACGAACATGGTTATATCAAACACGGTTATAACTAACACGGGTATAATGAACAACGTTATATCGAACACGCTTATAACTAACTCAGGGATAATGAACTCTGTTATATCTAAGGAGCTGATAACTAACACGATTATAACGAACACGCTTATAATGAACACTGTTATATCAAACAAGGTTATATTAAACACGATTATAACGAACACGGTTATATCGAACACGCCTATAATGAACATGGTTATATTGAACACGGTTATATCAAACATGGTTATAACTAACTCGTTGATAATGACCACGGTTATATTGAACACGCTTATAACTAACACAGGTATTATGAACACTGTTATATCTAAGGAGCTGATAACTAAAACAATTGTAACGAACACGCTTATTATGAACACTGTTATATCGAACATGGTTATATTGAACATGATTATAACGAACACGGTTATATCGAACACGCTTATTAAGAACACGATTATAACGAACACGGTTATATTGAATACGCTTATAACTAACACGGTTATACTGAACACGCTTATAACTAACACGGTTATATTGAACACGCTTATAACTAGCACGGTTATATTGAACATGATTATAACGAACACGGTTATATCGAACACGCTTATAACGAACACGATTATAACGAACATGGTTATATCAAACACGGTTATAACTAACACGGGTATAATGAACAACGTTATATCGAACACGCTGATAACTAACTCAGGGATAATGAACTCTGTTATATCTAAGGAGCTGATAACTAACACGATTATAACGAACACGCTTATAATGAACACTGTTATATCAAACAAGGTTATATTAAACACGATTATAACGAACACGGTTATATTGAACACGCTTATAACTAACACGGTTATATTGAACACGCTTATAACTAGCACGGTTATATCGAACACGCTTATAACTAACATGATTATAGCGAACATGGTTATATCGAACACGCTTAAAACTAACACGGGTATAACGAACACGGTTATATCGAACACGGTTATAATGGACATGGTGATATCGAAGATGCTTATAACTGACACAGGTATAACGAACACGGTTATATCGAACACGCTTATAACTAACACGATTATAACGAACAGGGTAATATCGAACACGCTTATAATGAACATGGTTATATCGAACACGGTTATATCAAACACGGTTATAACTAACACAGGTATAATGAACACTGTTATATCTAAGGAGCTGATAACTAACACGGGTATAACGAACACGGTTATATCGAACACGCTTATAACGAACACGATTATAGCGAACATGGTGATATCAAACACGCTTAAAACTAACATGGGTATAACTAACACGGTTATATCGAACACGATTATAACGGACATGGTGATATCCAAGACGCTTATAACTGACACGGGTATAACGAACACGGTTATATCGAACACGCTTATAACTAACACGATTATAACGAACAGGGTTATATCGAACACGCTTATAATGAACATGGTTATATCGAACACGGTTATATCAAACACGATTATAACTAACACAGGTATAATGAACACTGTTATATCTAAGGAGCTGATAACTAACACGATTATAACGAACACGCTTATAATGAACACTGTTATATCGAACATGGTTATATTGAACACAATTATAATGAACACGGTTATATCGAACACGCGTATAATGAACACGGTTATAACGAACACGGTTATATTGAACACGCTTATAACTAACACGGTTATATTGAACACGCTTATAACTAACACGGTTATATTGAACACGCTTATAACTAGCACGGTTATATCGAACACGCTTATAACTAACACGATTATAATGAACATGGTTATATCGAACACACTTATAACTAACACGATTATAACGAACATGGTTATATTGATCACGCTTATAACTAACACGGGTATAACGAACACGGTTATATCGAACACAATTATAACGAACATGGTGATATCAAAGACGCTTATAACTAACACGATTATAACGAACAGGGTTATATCGAACACGCTTATAATGAACACGGTTATATCGAACACGGCTATATCGAACATGCTTATAACTTACACGGGTATGATGAACACGATTATATCAAACATGCTTATACCGATCACGATTATAACGAACATGGTTATATCGAAGACGCTTATAACTAACACGCTTATAACTAACACGATTGTAACGAACACGGTTATATCTGATATGCTTATAATGAACACGGTTATATCGAACACGGTTATAATGAACACGCTTATAACTAACACGGGTATAATGAACACGGTCATATCGAACACTCTTATAACTAGCACAGGTATAATGAATACGGTTATATCGAACGAGCTTATAACTAACACGATTATAACGAACACGCTTATAATGAACACTGTTATATCGAACACGCTTATAACTTACATGATTATAACGAACACGTTTATATCGAACACACTTATAATGAACACGGTTATATCGAACACACTTATAACTAACACGATTATATCGAGCAGAGTTATAACGAACATGCTTTTAACTAATACGATTATAACGAACACACTTATAATGAACACAATTATATCGAACATGCTTACAACTAACACCGTTATATCGAACACGATGATAACGAACATGGTTATATTGATCACACTTATAACTAACACGGTTATATCGAACACGCTTATAGCGAACACGCTTATATTGAACACGTTTTATAACTAGCACGGTTATATTGATCACGCTTATAACTAGCACGGTTATATCGAACACGCTTATAACTAACACGATTATAATGAACAGGGTTATATCGAACACGCTTTTAACGAACACGATTATAACGAACATGGTTATATCAAACACGGTTATAACTAACAGGGGTATAATGAACACGGTCATATCGAACACGCTTATAACTAACCCAGGTATAATGAACACGGTTATATCGAACGAGCTTATAACTAACACGATTATAACGAACACACTTATAATGAACATGGTTATATCGAACACACTTATAACTAACACGATTATATCGAACAGAGTTATAACGAACACGCTTTTAACTAACACGATTTTAACGAACACGCTTATAATGAACACGGTTATATCGAACATGCTTATAATGAACATGGTTATATCGAACACGGATATAACGAACATGGTTATAACGAACATGGTTATAACGAACACGGTTATGTTTGTGTCCCCAACTGACTGTATATTTAGTCGTTTAACGAACTAAAGTAATACGAACTAAAATCAGTGGTAATTAGAGTTTGTAGTTTAGAGTACTTTGTTGTCTATATTTCGGATTGTTGCTTCATCTGAAAGACCAGAATTTTGCTGTTTTGGTGATGAATGGATTAGAATATGTTATTGTGATTGTGGGTGTGCGTGCGTGCGTGTGTGTGTGTCTGTCGTCCTTTTGTCTATCAGGAAACTGTAGTCCGTTACTTATATAGCTGAGATATGTCACTAACTGACCATGGGTAAGGATAATAATCTGCAGATGCTGACACAATGAAGGGACGTCACTCCGGAAAGAGAACTGCTGTACACATGACCATGTGGACACCCTCACCCTAATAATCCCACCAATAGTCTACCCCAAACACGCTCGCACGCACGAAGGTACGCACGCACGCTCGCACGCACAGACGCACGCACTCACAAAACTGTTATACCTCTCTTGGCGAGTTGTTGACCACAGTACATAGCAGTACAGAGTGGTCCCCACTTGTCACACATGCAGGTGTTGCAGCCGTCGCTGAAGGTGTCACCCACGTGGTAGGTGACTCCGTTTTGTACACATGTCGGCGTATCAACAGCTAGAGGAGAAAACGTATTATTTTACATCAAACCATGAAACGTTTACTGAAACCAAATGTAAGATGCTCCTGAAGCTGTTACTAATCGCTTACAAATTCTTCTACCCACCCCTAAAAATGTTGAATTCCTGCGTTCATTTATTTTTTATAAACATCATTCGTCGTGTTTTATGGATTACGTCCTTCATTGTGATATGCACTGTTTCAGATGGAGTTACTATTGCCGCTAGATGGCGGCGGTCTGTAAATAATCGAGTCTGGACCAGACAATCCAGTGATCAACAGCATGAGTATCGACCTACGCAACTGGGATACCATGACATGTGTCAACCAAGTCCGCGAGGCAAACCATTGCTGGGATTGCTGAAGACCAGTTTTAACCCGGATCTTCACGGGTTATGTATTATCTACAAAGTGGGTGTACAAGTGGGTGTACAAGTGGTTGTACATGTGGGTGTACAAGTGGGTGTACAAGTGGGTGTACAAGTGGTTGTACATGTGGGTGTACAAGTGGGTGTACAAGTGGTTGTACAAGTGGGTGTACATGTGGGTGTACAAGTGGGTGTACAAGTGGTTGTACAAGTGGGTGTACATGTGGGTGTACAAGTGGGTGTACAATGTGGGTGTACATGTGGGTGTACAAGTGGGTGTACAAGTGGGTGTACAAGTGGGTGTACAAGTGGGTGTACAAGTGGGTTGTACAAGTGGGTGTACAAGTGGTTGTACAAGTGGGTGTACATGTGGGTGTACAAGTGGGTGTACATGTGGTTGTACATGTGGGTGTACATGTGGGTGTACAAGTGGGTGTACATGTGGGTGTACATGTGGGTGTACATGTGGGTGTACATGTGGGTGTACAAGTGGGTGTACATGTGGGTGTACATGTGGGTGTACATGTGGGTGTACAAGTGGGTGTACAAGTGGGTGTACAAGTGGGTGTACAAGTGGGTGTACAAGTGGGTGTACATGTAGGTGTACAAGTGGTTGTACATGTGGTTGTACATGTGGGTGTACAAGTGGGTGTACAAGTGGGTGTACAAGTGGGTGTACAAGTGGGTGTACAAGTGGGTGTAGTGGGTGTACATGTGGGTGTACAAGTGGGTGTACAAGTGGGTGTACAAGTGGGGGCACAGTGGGTGTACAAGTGGGTGTACAAATGGGTGTAGAAGTGGGGGTACAATGGGGGTACAAGTGGGTGTACAATGGAGGTACAAGTGGGGATACAATGGGGGAACAAGTGGATGTACAAGTGGGGGTACAAGTGGGGGTACAATTGTGTGTACAAGTTGGGTACAAGTGGGGTCCAATGGAAGTACAAGTGGGGATACAATGGGGGTACAAGTGGATGTACAATTGGGTGTACAAGTGGGGGTACAATGGAGGTACAAGTGGGGGTACAAGTGGGTGTACAAGTGGGTGTACAATGGGGTACAAGTGGATGTACAAATGGGGGTACAAGTGGGTGTACAATTGTGTGTACAATTGTGTGTACAAGTTTGGTACAAGTGGGGTACAATGGAGGTACAAGTGGGTGTACAAGTGGGTGTACAATTGGGTGTACAAGTGGGGGTACAATGGGGGTACAAGTGGGGGTACAAGACGGGGTACAATGGGGGTACAGTGACAAGAGGTAGAAAGTGCAGTTATAGTAAACAAGAAGTACACAGAAACATCTGTAACATGTTTAGCACATAATGACAAGGTATCAGTGTTAGAAGCTCATAGTAAAGTTCTGAGAGAGTATTCATATGTTAAACCAGTGTTAGAAACATAGATGTGTCTTAAAATATCATAAACGACTAACTTAAAATATAACTCTTCTAAAACACCTTACAAAAGGGCACAATCTGAGGTCTCTAGCAACACTCGCCCTCTACCTGTATCTTTCACATTAGTCATTTTTCAGTTAATTGTGTGCATCTTTAGTGGCTTCTTTGGTGCACCTAAATAAAATTCGGTTAGTTGATCCAGGCGCGTAGCATGCCAATTTTTTCTTGTAAGTCCGATAGGTTGCAAAGATATATATTTTAGATAGTATTGAGTGCTTGCCCAACCTTTTTAGCAGCAATCATGTGTCATCCTGGGCTTTGTTTTATAATGGTAGCTACGCCCCTGAGTGGAGCATAAGGGTTCTTGATACTTTTAGTAAACCCAGGAATGCTAGACGACCAAGGCGTTTGCCATCTTACCTCCATTGTCGCGTTTTCCCAGCATACACAATACACCCCTGTGACATTTTGGCCCGGTCAGTTCACAGCTGCAGAGGTCGCAGCTGCCCTCCACGTACGTTTGTCCAAAGTTGTAGGTGCGGCCACCGCTCTGACACTTCATCAGTGTCTCTTCAGCAATCAGAGATATTATACAGTTGTTGTAAGTAACATAGTGTTTTAGGTCCATCCTTTTAACGTGCCTTCCTTACTGGTTGTTTAACATTGTTTATCTTATTATCTTAGCTATTAGTATGCCATTTGTTACATAAAACCATTAATTGAGGAATCTGGATATTCTGTTATTTCCGAAGTAGAGTCACATGACTTTGTGCCGTGTTAAACAAACAAACACACAAAACAATAGTTTTTTTTAAACAAGAATGAGCAGTCTGAGAAAATGGAGTTTGTAATTAAGCTTTTCGGACTCGAGGCGGTTGGGTAACCCACCGTTTAAAGCGTTCGCTGGTTGCGTCGAAGACACGGATTCTATTCCATGTGTGAAGGACATTTCTAGTGTCCTCCATCGTTATATTGCTGGAATATTGCTAAAACGGCGTAAAACTATACTCACTCACTACACTGTCGGCGGCGTTAACCTCACTCACATTTGATTATTATTGTGGTCTCACCTTGGGTTGATGATCCGATACATATGGCAAGCAGTATGAAAGTTAACTTCGCCATATTGGACAAAAGGTATATACAACAGATAAGAATGACCGATAGTACTTGGGTGTACCTTGTAGTAGAAGCAATGCCACGTTGACCTCGTGTTAGATATCTATCTTATCACTGTCTTGGTACATGTTGTGACGTGTGGTCCTGTGCATAGAGCTCAGGTCACAAATCAGTTGACTGACTGACTGAGTTTGGTATTACGCCGCTTTTAGCAATATTCCAGCAACATCACAGCGGAAGACTTCAGACATTGTACCCATGTGGGGATGCAAATCAGTTGAAGCCAAGCACCGTTGAGTACGGAGATGTCCTTGGATGGGTGACCGTGTTTGGCAGATTGACTCCTGAGAGTTTCTAGGACTTCAGTCGTGTCCACAACGAAACACACGTGATACCTTAGGCAAGTGAGTTTGTTTAAAATTGCCTCTGTTCACCCAGCATTAAATGGGTACCCGGTGGGATAAGTCATGTGACTATAAGCGCCTGACAGGCAGCTTGGGTTATCCGGAGTAATAATGTGTTAGATCTTTAAACCTGTTTCACGTGTATGGAAACAGCATGCTTAAAACAGCATTGTTTAAAACTGCCTCTGTTTACCCTTTGTTCCCCCAGCAGTAAATGGGTACCCGGTGGGATAAGTCATGTGTCTATAACCTTCTAGCGCCTGACAGGCACATTGGGTGATCCGGGGTAATAATAATCAGATTCTGAATACAGCGTCCAGTGAGCAACTAGTCTCTAGCATTTAGTAGCATTCAGGATACGGACGTTTGTGTTTGTGTTGGTGGAAGGTTCACCTTTAATTCATGCGCATACAAACATACATGACTGTGAGTTCGACTCCCGGTTGTTTGTTTTCTAGGACCGTCAGCACCATAAACCTGCCTGTAGGTTTCAAGTGGTAAACGCACAACATCTACATCACTTTTGAATTGTCCTCCGACATTCAGCTGGCATGCTGTGCTGCAACTGGAATACCTATAAAGTGGCGTTAAACCTAACTCACTCAATCCTTCACTCGCTGAGCACGCTTACTACACATCGTTTCATGGACACCTCTTCCCCTTCATGGCCCCCTAATTGGACCACAACATAGTAGCCAGGGCCGGATACAGCTTTTTGAGAAAGGGGGTGTATGTGTGTGTGTGCACACTATTGAGAAAGGAGGGGTGCACACTCCATTTCCACGAGAGTTTCAATGGTCATTAAATAAACTTTCAGGACAAAGGGGGTGGGGGTGTGCGCCTATGATAGCTCTTGTTTACTCACTCTCTTATTGTTACAGCCTACCAAGAACCTCGAGTAATGTATCAATTGCTGATATTAGTACAATGTGCAGAAATGAGCAAACTGTTACCCCACAGTTATAACTTTTCACAAAAAAATAAATAAAACGGCTTTGAAATATTCTATTCAATCGGTTCCAGGCAAATCGAAGTGGTTGTCTTGAAGATCACGTGCCCACGGATCAAGTCAACTGTGTACATCGTCCATGTGTGTTTGTGGCCGTTGGATGCGCACGTAAAATAAACTTGACCAAACGTGGCTTTGCATAAATCCCGGAAACGACACACAGACACACAAACACACAGCCTAATAACGAACAGACACACAGAGACACAGACACACCTATTAAGTAGCACCCGGACATTTGACGGTGTTACACTGAATTTGAAACCGCAAGCCTTTGGCATCGTTTGAGTCGAATTGTTTGAATTATGGAAATGTTCGTCAAAGGATTGTTGGTCTGTTTGTTTGTCTGTTTGTTAAAATTTCCGAGTCACGTGCTGGGATTCTAATCATGGACCTTCTAATCCGGAGGCGGACACCTTGTCCACCAAACAGGTTAACCCCATCAGCAAGCTGACAAGGCAAGGATGTCATCTGTGGGATGACTCCACGCCCTGCTACATACTCCCCCGTCAACAGAAGGCACGTCCCGAGCCGCATAGTTGGGTACTGAGACTTATTTGGCTCAAATTTGATCTGAACGTGCTCAGCCCCACGTTTGGCGACAATGTTGCCGCCATGAAATTTCCGAGTCACGTGCTGGGATTCTAATCACGGACCTTCTAATACGGAGGCGGACTCCACGCCCTGCTACATAAAGACCACATTGAAGTTAATGTTGTGCATTGGCGGAGCCAAGGTGGGGTCCAGGGGACTTGAACCCCAGAAACCCACCCACCCCCACCCCAACCTTTCCCCTTGAAATTTCCTGGATCCGCCTATGTTCGTCAACCTACTCTGTAAGACGAACAACCCGATTCTGTGATTCGCCTCTTGCAACAAGCATTGGTTCCTGAAGATCAGTTCAAATCCGGATCTCCACAAGGAAATTATGTCTCTGCATATACTCAAACAAATACATATCTCATCGGCATACACTGTAAATGTGAAGCACGGAGAAAGTGTGATCCCGATTGTAGCACATTTAAAAAGTCAACATTCAAATTATCAATGGATAAAAAACGGCAAATCAGTGATGACACCAATAGAAATCGTGATGACAGCAGTTCAAATCAGTGATGACACCATACAAATCAGTGATGACACCAATATACAAATCGGTGAAGACACCAATAGAAATCTGTGATGACATCAATAGAAATATGTGATGCCACCAATATACAAAACTGTGATGACATCAATAGAAATCAGTGATGACACCAATATACCAATCGTGATGACACCAATACAAATCAGTGATGACACCAATACAAATCAGTGATGCCATCAATAGAAATCAGTGATGCCATCAATACAAATCGCGAGGACACCAATTTAAATCAGTGATGACACCAATATACAAATCGGTGAAGACACCAATAGAAATCTGTGATGACATCAATAGAAATCTGTGATGCCACCAATATACAAAACTGTGATGACATCAATAGAAATCTGTGATGCCACCAATATACCAATCGTGATGACACCAATACAAATCAGTGATGACACCAATACAAATCAGTGATGACACCAATAGAAATCGGTGATGACACCAATGCAAATCGTGATGACACCAATACAAATCAGTGATGACACCAATACAAATCAGTGATGACACCAATACAAATCAGCGATGACACCAATAGAAATCAGTGATGCCATCAATACAAATCGCGAGGACACCAATTTAAATCAGTGAGGACACCAGTGCAAATCAGTGATGACACCGATACAAATCGGTGATGACATCAATACAAATCGTTATGACACTAATTCAAATCAGTGATGACACCAGTGCAAATCTGTTATGACACCGATACAAATCGGTGATGACATCAATACAAATCGTGATGACACTAATTCAAATCAGTGATGACACCAGTGCAAATCTGTGATGACACCAATACAATAGGTGATGACACGAATTCAAATTCAATTCGCTGAGACTTACACAAGTAAATGTTTGAGCCAACAAACCGTTTCGGATGTAGCCAGTGTAAAAGTCAAATTTATCAGCAAATAAACAGTTTGAGTACATTTACATAAAATCAGTGCTTAGGTGAAGTGAACCAGTGCATGAGTTGGGGTGACCAGCACTGATCACTGTTAACCAGTACATGTGAAAGATTATCGGAGTAAAGTAAACCAGTTTCAAAGTAAACTTTAAAGTTACCCAGTGCTTGAGAAACGTGAACCAATCCTTGAGTAAAATGAACCTGCGTAAAAATAATTTCAAAATAAACCCATTCCTTGTGGATGTGAAATGTTATCAAACGCATGGGTAATACACTCTCTCAAAAAAAAGAAACGCAACCCCTATCTAAATATCTGACATCATTTCTAGAATAAAGATGGTGAATGTAAATTAGAATTTTCTTCAAAATACTGTTAATACGTTCCCATCTGATCAGTATAAGCTCCCAAACGGAACCATTTTCACACATGATGACCTTTGTATCCGTGTTATTTGAGAAAGTGCGAAATTGTCATGTACAAAATGCTAAAAGCCTGTTGCACGTGCAAATCGTTGAAAACACAGTTCATGTAGAGGGTTTTAAAAGCACGCGTAGTTTGTAATTTTTCTCTCAGAATTTGCTCTGCAAATCAAGTTCGAAAATGCCCCGTTTGAGTACAGCAAATCGAAATATTGCCATTGGTCGCATTGAAGCCGGGGGAAAGCTTTGGAACAGTTGCCCGTCATGTAAACGTACACAAAACAACAATCTCACGACTTTGGAATCGTTACACACAGTTCCATGCAATTGAAGATCGTCCCAGGAGCGGTAAACCTAGGATCACCACACCGGCTCAGGATCGCTTTATTCGACTCAGCCACCTACGTAATCGGCATGCCACACCCACCATCACTGCAACACAGGTGCCAGGTTTGAGGAGAGCATCGGCCCAAACCATCAGGAACCGTTTACATGAGGCAAATTTACGTGCAAGAAGACCAGTTGTTGGGCCCGTCTTGAAACGCCAACATCGACGCCAACGTCTCAGGTGGTGTACTAACGTAAGGAGATGGACCCTCAGAAACTGGAGAAGAGTCTGGTTTAGTGACGAGTCTCGTTTTCTTCTTCAACGACGTGACGGTAGACAACGTGTCTATAGACGAGCAAATGAACGTTTTGCACCGAACTGCGTTCGACAGGTCGACAGATTTGGAGGAGGAAGCATCATGATTTGATTTAAACATATTTATTCAAGAGAATGGATTGGGTACAAGTTATGCCAACTTAGTGAAACCCTCTCCTATTTACAGTGCTTACATGCAAAAGTGAAACAAACTATATGTACAGGGATAGAAAGATATATACAAAATGATATATACAATACAATGAATACATGAATTATTTAGATCATACACATTATATCTGAAGCATCATGGTATGGGGAGCCATGTCTTACAACCAACGGTCAGACTTGGTCATCATTCGTGGCAATTTGACGGCACAACGGTACATTGATGACGTCTTACAGCCACATCTTCTGCCGATAATCGACCAACAGAGGGAGTTGTTTCAACATGACAATGCCCGCCCTCATACAGCTCGTGCAACAGTGGCATTCCTACAGAATTCAAACGTCAACGTGATGCCGTGGCCCTCCAGATCGCCAGACATCAATCCTATCGAACAT